CATGATGGAACTGCTAGTGCTTCACAAGAAGTAAACTAATTAAAAAATCAGGTTTTTCCCAAAAGCCCAAAAATGCCTTGCCAAAAGAGGAAACTTCCTTTCTGCAAGATTTTTCACTCTCCCTTCCTTCTGCCTTTCCAATGCATTTCAGTGCAGAGATGTCACAAAACTATCTGCTCACAGACTTGGACATAGTCACTCACTTAGGACACAGTGGGCCATCTCTTCGGAGAACAGGTAGTGCCTTTCTCTTACACAGTCCAGAAGCAAACCTTTTCAGGTGTAAGAGAGATTTTGATTCAGAAAGTAGGCACGTCAGGTTAGCAGCATTTTGGGGAAAACAGAGTTTTTAAAAAACCCAGAATTTATTCTAAAGGAAATGCTTTCTTTATCCCAATTCTTTTGAATAAAAACCTGGTCATATGATTAATCATACTCGGTACATTTTGTAGTGCCAGGGGATTGCACAGAATGTGTCTGGAACACACCGATTTTACAAGTCTGGAACAGATAGATTTAATGTCCTACCCCTGACTAGTAGAAGTGGTTTTTCTTTTTCTTTTTCATTTGTCATACATAAACACACACACACACACACACACACACACACACACACAAAACCCTAGAGAAGTTAGCTTGACAGATTGGCAAAACTTTTGTCCTTGGGATTCCTCCAATAATAATCAGGCATGCTGATCATGGGCATATTCTCTTATACAAGTTAAGGCTAGCAGCAGTGCCCTTTTAACATTTGCAAATGTGGTGCCTGTTGTAAGCAGTGGCTATATGTAACACTTCCTTCTTCTTTTGACAGCAGACCATAAAAACACCACCTTGGCCTACTCGTGCATCTTCAACAGCAGTTAGGGAGGCCAGCTTGTCAACAAGGCTATCTTGTCCCTGTAGCTTCAAAAGCAGCAGGATTTGAACAGATTATCAGGGGACGCTTCTTAAAGGACAGCATGTACTTTTATCTTAGTAACAGAAATATATCAATAGGTGGGATGACAGTTCTGAAGATGGTGTCCATGGACACAGAAAGAGACTGTTTACGTCTTATCCATAGAGTTGCTTTGCCATTGGAGGGGGAAATACCATAATACCTTTAATTCAGATCAATTAAACACCACAGAAATAACGAGATAGCTTTCAGGTGCAGCTGGTTCAAAGCATCAGACCCTCCAAGTGTCCTTATTTTCCAGGGACAGTCCCGGATTTACAGACGCCATCCCGATTTCTGATTTGGTCCCAGAATATCCTGCTTTTCCTTAGGAAGTCCTTGTTTTCATCGGAGAAATGTTGGAGGGTTTGAAGCATTAGGTTGTAAAGACATGGGCATGTGAGTGAGGCTTGACTGAGCAAGTTTTGTTTAAATTGTAGTGTAAATATATTTAAATCCTTTCAGATTTCTGTACTAGCCACATGCTGCTTTTCATGCAGCTGGAATAATACTTGAATGACTCAGCCATGTAGGTGAGTGCTGATTGTGTGGATCCTGGCCAGGGAATAAGCGTCTTGCCAGGAATCGTGTGTGTGCTCATTCTGTGGGAAAGATCCCCCCACACCATGACTGGGTCATTTAAATGTTATTCCCAGCTCTCGTGCAGTAAGTCTTTTTCTTCTTCTTTGGCGATCACTCGTAGCTGAGTAAGATTGTCATCCATAAAAACAGTTTTAACAATGAGTCCGTAGGTGACTGTGGAGGCCAATTCTGGATCCACACATCCTTCCACAGTGGGGACATTGGTTTCTGGGCGGGAGTTGATCACGGTGTGGATTTGCCAAGCGTACCTTCCTTTTAGCATGTTTCTCCCTTGCTTCCTGGGTTCGAGTGTCTTCAAAGCTAATACCAGTGTACTGGAAGAAGCAAAGATCCCCAGTGTTGAAGCATGCAGTGAGTATGGTGCTCAGCGGGGCTCATGTATGATACAAATGGGTTACAACAGAGGTTTTCAACATTTTTGAGTCCACAGTTCCCTTGACCAACTACATTCTTTCTGCTTCTTTACATTCAAATCAGGTGAGCCATGTGTGCTTTTGTTTTTTTCTGAAAGTAGATGACATTAGGGGAAAATTAAGTTCACTATCACTCTGCTGAAGATGTGATTTAACAATGCAGTTTACAGCTCAAGCCCACAGGGTATGCTTAAAAACAAAATACGCCTCACTAGAATTTGATGGAGGCTGAGAAGAATAAGAGTTAGATAAAGCATATTTTGTAGGAGAGCCTTCCTTGTTTTACTAGTGCTTGCATGCAAATGCATGTTCAGTGTTCGAAGATGCTCTTAATTTGATTTATATTCAGTCAAAGAGGTTTCAGCCACAGTTGTCAATCAAGTCAAGCTCTGGAAATAGGATTCCCCCCCCTCTTTTGGGTGGGGGGAACCTACTCCCATCATTCATTTGCATAAACTCTTCCTGTCATCTGCTAGCCTGGCCTGACACAATAACTTCTTATTTTTTTACAGTAATAAAGCTGCAGTGGCTAGCTGGAAATCTTCCCACTTAATCCCTACGCATCTTTCCAGCAATGAGGAATATCTCTTTGTTAGGTAGCGGAAGTGTAGAAACTGTAGGACACCACGGAAACAAGAATAAACAGTTAATGTTCCTGATGCGCTTTGGACCAGATGTCCTTTCAGCAGTTTGCAAATGCAGTGCCCTCAATCTCAGGCAATGCTGAACCAAACTACAACTTTGCACGAATGAGCAAAATGTGTGTGGGCTCCCATAGTGAAGTTCACAAGCATTTTGCTTTTCCCCAGTCATTTTGATGCTGTGCTGAGCTAAGCTAAGATTCATTTTAGCACATTGCCTAAATCTGAGCTTGTGGCTTAGCCTAGGCAAACTTTCTTCTAAGGACCTCAAGTTTTTATTCTCATAACAACTGGTGAGCTTCATGACTTGAGTGGCTGTTAGAACTTTGGTCTCTCAGGTTTTAGTCCAGCATTCTAACTACTGACGTGAGTAAAATCACTTGTTTTTGCCCTCAAACTTTGCTCTCTCTCTATACTAACCTTCAGGTTTCTCCCTTCAATATGTTTTAATTCCTGTTTCAAGTTGGACCCGATGCACACATTCCGATTTAGTTTTTTTTAATAGTAAATTTTAATTAGTTTTCAATTACAGTCTGATAATAGCCTCATTATAACAATGCCAATTTATAATACTACACCTTTCAATTTTGAATCACCTAACCCAGGGTGTGAACAGGTTTTATTCAGAAATAGTTAACCCTTTTTATTCCAGTGGCGTGTGGTTGACTGAGGTAGGTTAACAGTTCTTGGTCCAAAACTGAACACTTCCTGAAACTTCTTGGGGTCTGTAAAAAAATGCATAGGGTCATGCTAAATTCGATGAAAATCGCATTTGTGTAGGTTTTTTTCTAGTTTTGTTTCTTTGGTAAATCTTACTGAATTTGGTAGACAGGGATTTTGTTTGTTTGTTTTATTACATTTATATACTGCCCCATCATCAGAGGATCACAGTGTGGTTTACAATATAAAAATACAAAAATACATAATGACAAACAAAACAATAATTCCATCATACTCTTTTCGAAAGGTTTTTGTCCCCCCGCCCCCCAACACAACATTTCAGAAGGAAAAATCTCAAAGATCTGTGGGATGTGTGAAGCAGCCATTTAGAAGCCTCTTCCATTTCCTCAGGCACTTGTGTCACGTATTTTGGAACTTAATAGAATGTAAAATAAATGTTATTTTGTTTGCTTTGATCTCAAATTTGGCTTCATTTTCTCACTCGTTGTAATAGGGTTGTAGCCTGAGCCAGCAACACCCCCTCATCTCACCCCACCCCTGCCCAAAAGTGTACGTTTCTTGCTCCCTAGGCTTGGTCCCTGGGTCGCTTGCAATTATCTTGCTGGCTTAAAGCGCACATTGCCTCCAGGCAGTACTTAGAAGGAGCCTTGTAGCTGTTGATACAGAATCAGAGAGATAAAATGTAATGTCTTTTACGGTCCATTTCCCTTTTCTCTTTTTTGATGATGGCTACGGGGGCAAAGGGAAATTTGCACTTCATCATGGGTTTTCTTGTAGGAGCAAAATCCCTGGTCCAAGTCATTATCTTGTTACTACAGAAAGGGGTGTGCAAGCAATTCAGTTTAGGGCAGGCAGGTGAAGAAGAGGGCAGGGCCTTGGCAACTTTAATAGCTGTGTAGGAGGAGGAAATTTAAGCATGACATTCCCCTTTGCAGGTATTTAATGGTGCCAGAGTTCTCTTCCCCTTTTCACCTGGCCATTCTACATCCTAAGCCTATTTTCTTATCGGGGGACCGGGGGACCCTCCAGTAAACAGCAGTGATATATATTTTTTCATAAATGTGTGTGTGTGCGCGTGCGTGCGTGTGTACACACAGCATGGCCCAAAAGTAGGTATACTGCTTTAGAACCCACTTTTCTTCTTCTTGACTGTTCTTTGATTTAACTGTATTCTACTTCTACAGGTGACCATGTATATCCTATATGCATCCTTTATTTCCTCCAAAGAGCAGACAGTGGAGTAAAGTACATAGGATTGCCTATGGTTTTAATCACATTTTTATTTCAAGCAGTTGTTTGGTATTGGATGCTGCTCTTAGCTATCCTCTGCCCCTCCGTCGCCGGTTTTAATTCTGCTGATTTGACTTGTCATCTTTTTGCACTGAGGCCTTTTTTAAATGGATCCTTGGTGGTTAGAGCGAGCCGCTTTTGAAATGTCGTCTGCTGGCATGGTTTGGATTCAGATAGCATCTGCCTACTGACCGTGGGGTTTGCAGATAGTGCTGATCAATGAGGTGTGGGGGCAAGTGGCTGCGGCTTGGGGAAAACTGCCTTGTGGGCCAAACTGGGACCTGTGACAGGCCAGAAGTCCCCCACTCCTAGGTTAGAGTATTGGATGCGACCTGACTAGATTTCCATTTAGCCACAGAGCTGACTGGATGATCTTGGGCCAGTCCAAACATATAATCATCTATTCCAATCCCCTGCAATGCAGGAATATTTCACCCAACATGGGGCTCGAACCCACAGTCCTGAAATTCAGGGTCTCATGCTCTACCAACCGAGCTTCTAGCTCTCCCCTAGCACAGATGACAACCCAGTCCTAGCAAGTAAGCAGTGCAACTTACTTCCCAATAAATGCGCATAATATCTCAGTGTGTTACAGCAAGATCCCATTTCCCTGTTTTGCTCCAGGAACCAAAATCTGTTTGGCTAGTCCTGTGACGCAGTGCATTCTACGGAGTATGTTGCCTTCAGTTCAGAGGAGCAAACAGGCAGCCCCATAGAGGATGCGTAAAATGTTAACAGTTGCTGAAAAATATGTCTTGATGGTCTTTTCACGCAAGGGGGTAAATGCCTCACCATGAGGAAAGAGAGAGGATGATGGAAGCAGTCATCCAGTCCAAACCACTGCCCATTCAGCAGGACCACCCACACACCTGCCACCCTCGCAGCTGAGCCCATGCGATCCAGACTACAATGTGACGCTGGCAAAGAACGGGCATATGGCAATAGGTGTTGCCAGAGCAATAGCTACATATGACTCCCATCTGCTGAACTGCTTTGTATGCATGCATAGACAAAAGAAACTTTTCATTGTAACCTGACTAACTTGCATTCCATGACTGATCCTTCAACACACACACACCAAACACACCTTTTGAATTTTAGTGGTGATTCTAGGGTGTAGCTTAAAAGCACTGCTGCAGGTGTATAAACTCTTAGGCTTGCCTAAAGGCTCTCTTTACATTGCAACCTATACAAATGGTAGCTGAAGCCAGGATTATTACTGTTTTCTTGAAAGAGTTGAGTAAAGTGAGAGAAGAGCAGTGAAATCATAGGCATGCCTACTCAGGTGTAAACCCCATTTAGTTCAATGGGACTTAACTCCAAGTTTTGCAATCTCAGGGAACTTAATTATAATTGTTACCTGAGTGCTCACTGGAAGGACAGATCGTGAAGCTGAGGCTCCAATCCTTTGGCGACCTCATGAGAAAAGAAGACTCCCTGGAAAAGACCCTGATGTTGGGAAAGATCAGCACAAGGAGAAGGGGATGACAGAGGAAGAGATGGTTGGACAGTGTTCTCGAAGCTACCAGCGTGAGTTTGACCAAACTGTGGGAGGCAGTGGAAGACAGTGCCTGGGGTGCTCTGGTCCATGGGGTCACGAAGAGTCGGACACGACTAAACGACTAAACAACAACAACAAGTATGTGGCTGAAAAAGCATTTCTCCTGTGCCACCTAAAACTCTTGAAGGTCACAACCTGTCCCAGAGTGAACAGCAGCAGAGTCTGCCATCCTATCTGCCTGAGGCAGAAAGGGAACAAAGGAAGAACAAGGTAGTTCACAGTATACCTGTTGTAATTAGTATAGGGGTAAGCTGGGAATTTGTCTGCTCATTGAGCAGAGGAGACCCACTAGTGGGTCCAGCGGTCAAAACAGGCAGTTCCTATACTTGCTGTAGAGAGGGAAGTGAGGGGTGGATGGGGCTCAGCCACCTGGGAATGAAGAAGAAGAAGAAGAAGAAGAAGGGTTTGGATTTGATATCCCACTTTATCACTACCCTAAGGTGTCTCAAAGCGGCCAACATTCTCCTTTCCCTTCCTCCCCCACAACAAACACTCTGTGAGGTGAGTGGGGCTGAGAGACTTCAAAGAAGTGTGACTAGTTCACGGTCACCCAGCAGCTGCATGTGGAAGAGCGGGGACGCGAACCCAGTTCACCAGATTATGAGTCTACCACTCTTAACCACTGCACCACACTGGCTCTCATGTAGCCCATCTAGGATGGGGAAGATTCTCATCTGAAACCTCTGCTGCCTTGCAAGATATCTTCGGAAGAAGAAAAGCCTAAGGCGTAAATCCTACACAAATCCAGAGTGGAGTCCCTAAGATGGTTGGGTGGCACCTCCTTGTACACCTCCTTCTGGCAACTGTTGCAGCCAAGCTGGTGCCAAACGTATTGCTCTGCTTTCTTTGGGCCACATAATGAGGCTGAGAGCTGAGTGGGGCGGTTCATCTGGGTTTCCAGATGACCTCCATACATGCTGCCCAGGCTTGCACCTCGGGGAGGTCACTTCGGTGCTGTTAAGACAGCGGTTTGACTTCACCTCCAGAGGTGCACCTGATGGTCTCTCAAGATGGACAGATGTCAACCAAGCAAGGGATTTAAAGAGTCCTTTGTCCGTGATTTGGAATGACTGAATAATGTTGCTTGATTCGCATTGTGGAGAAGATTAAAAGAGCTCTTTCCCTGTATCTTCCTGATTTGTACAGGAATGAGTCGGTGGGCTGAGCCAATGTTGATGACTTTGCAGACATGAGCGTAGAAAGGATTTTTGTGGGGGGCGGGGCAGAACCAACATGATTGGTCAGTTAGTTAACTATTTCTATCGTTTTACTTAATTGATGAGGGGGAAGCTGCCCCCTGCTCCCCCCCTTGGCTATGCCCATGTTTACAGACCTAAAATTCTGTGGAGGAATCCACAGCAGTTAAACCAGTATAAATAAACAAAACCAGTATAAATTTGTAGTGTAGATGGGGCCTGGGGTGTGCTGGTTTTCTTCCATGTTACTGGCACAAACGTGGCTTTTACTTCAAGCAATGAGTATTCGTTCCTATTGTCTCTCCTCCTATCTTTCCAAATACAGTGGTACCTCGGGTTACATACACTTCAGGTTACAGACTCCGCTAACCCAGAAATATTACCTTGGGTTAAGAACTTTGCTTCAGGATGAGAACAGAAATTGTGCTCTGGTGGCGCGGCAGAAGCAGGAGGCCCCATTAGCTAAAGTGGTGCTTCAGGTTAAGAACAGTTTCAGGTTAAGAACAGACCTCCAGAACGAATTAAGCTCTTAACCCGAGGTACCACTGTAGTGAGAAAAACCTGACATTTCTGTTTGAATCGCAGCAGATGTTGCTGGTAAAATATTAAAAGGTCTATATGCACGTCTGGTAAACATGGATTTGTGTGAGAGAGAGAGAGAGAGAGAGAGAGAGAGAGAGAGAGAGATTCTGGTTCAGATGCTCTGTAACATTTAATTCATGCAACAAAAAAAAAAAAAAAAACTTGCAGGAGCAGCCAAGGTCGGCAATGCCTCCTGCTGTAAGTGCTTGTGGCACATTTGAAGCTGCATGAGGGCAATGTTAATTGATGTGCTCTGAATACATGTAATTTGCTTTTTCTGGCTCAGTTGTTCCTGATACCATAGTGCCTGTTTGGTCGCTGAGGTGGCTTTTAAAGCCAGAGCTGCACAGCAGGGGAATGGCTGAGCAGGAGTGGGGTGTGTGTGTAGAGAAGATACAATTCCATTACTAAAAGTATTCTTGTCTGCAGAGGACAAGCAGAGAGCGCACTGCCTCTGAAGCTTCTCTGCTCTCCTTTGTTTCCAGAGCTGTAGCCGTTTGTTGCACAGGTTGAGCAGAGCTGAAACCAAGATAACTGTTCAGCTGAGAAAGCTGTTTGTTTTTCACTTCCAAATAAAGACAGGCTTCCAAATAATGTGGGGAAAATACTGGGTGATGAACGGCGTCAGGAGACGTTTACATTCCTGTCTTCCCTTCTTTCTGGAAAAGGCTGTTTGAAGGACGATTTTCTCTTTCCCTTTGAAGTTTTATGTGGTATCTAAAACATGGATGTACCAAATTTCCCTTCTTTCATGGATGCTGTTGGCCTCAACAGATAATCCTCCATTATAATAAACACAAACTGCAATATGGAATATAATTCTTTTAAGTCGAAATTTTTCTTCTTAATGATTTGTACTTGCATGGCTTGTGCAATCTATATACCTCAACCCTCTCTTTAACTTGCTTTGTGCTTCATTATTCAATCATAATAATTAATAATAATAATAATAATAATAATATGAAAGTAACCTTATTAAATAGGTATTAACCTTTACATAGTGTACCTTACTTCACATAATATCTCTCCTCCATGCTATTGGAGATTTTTTTTAAAAAAACAGCACTGAATTTGCACTTTGTTATTCAGCTGGCTGTATCAATACACACACTCTTTCACCACCCAAAAACCAGATATTGCACTTCTTTGGCTGCATAGAAATCCCATAGAAGTGCAGCTTTTTCTCTTCTCTCACTCCAAAACTGTGTTCACACTCCTGTTTGAGGTGCGCTCACTGTGTTCCTTCCAGTGCTGGGTTTTGAATCCATGTTCCCATGATGCATATCTATCCTGTACTTCGTTATAAGATATTACTGTTTGATATGTTGTATCTCAAAGAAGCTTCAAACCAGTTAGAGCCCTTAAGCCATTCCTAATTTTTTCTTTAGCCCGGGTGAGAACACATTTTCATAGGGTAAAAACTGTTAGGATATTTCCGTTCCACCTTAAAAGGGAGCAGGCTTTGTGAGTCACAGAGTCTGTGTATTTCCTGTTCACAGGAAGTTTATGCTTTTGTCTTTGCTTTCGTTTTCTCTCTGTGTCTGAGACACTGAAGCAGGCAGTCATGTTTTTTCTTTGTTCTGACCAACCTCTGAATAAACTTGTAAATACGCTCTCCTGAGTGCATCTTTTGCTATGCGAACTCTGCTGATAGAGCGTGCATCAGCTCTGGAATGTGGCAAGCTATTTCTGGAGCTCGTGTCGCTAATTGCTGATATTGTATCTACGGGAGATCGATGGATCATCCAGAGGCGACGTGGAGTCATGATGGACTTTGTCTCCCTGGCAGTATCCCAACAAAAACTTCCCTCCCCTTGCATAAACATTCCCCCCCCCCCCATGTGCACACAAACAGAAATGAATCTGACAATAATGAAGCCATGCTGATGAGAGCAGCTAGAAGGGAAAGAGTTGTGAAATGCACACACAGAAAGAAAGAAAGAAAGAAAGAAAGAAAGAAAGAAAGAGCAATGAGATGGTGAAAACAACACAAACACAGCCCAAGCTTGGATAGTCAGTGGTGCATGGAAGAAGGGAGTGAATGTTGAGGGTTATTCCTTAACATTAATCATAGTCACGAGAAGGAAATACAGATTGGACAAGGAAATAGGTGAATAGTGGTTTGGAACGCCAGAGGACAATGAGGAATAAATCCAAAAAAAAGT